GAGAGAAGAGAAAAAAAAATCAGTATAGTTGAAGATCAGAGAAGAAAGGTTTGGAAAAAATCACGAAGAGGGAATCCAATAAAAATTTAAGCAGTTTTTAATAAATTTGGCTTAACCTCGTAATCTGTTTTGTTAAAGAATAAAATCTATAAGGTTATACAAACGGTTCCCCGTTGTCATCTCAATCTTTTTTTTTCATGTCATAAAATATTGCAATTTTGAGCTACTCATATCCCCTCTCCGTTTGATTTTACAATGAGTGCAATAGATAGTGACAGAAAAAAGTTCCTCAAATATGTCAACGTAATTTTTTTGTGGGATTTCCAAGGCCATTTGTTCCACAAGAAAGTGTAATGCTTGAGAGAGACGTGCCCATTGCATTTGGATGTATTTTTTTATGATAATATTGATGCCAATTTAAGTAGGGAAGCTCTTTCCCATGGAGCAGATGAACTCTCTAGAAAGAGCTTTCCGCCAAAAAGAAAATATTTCGTCCATAATGTCGAGAATACTCTTCCACATGTAATAACGACCAAAAAAAAAAGAAGAGTGCGTGTATGCTATGTTCTTGTTAGGCTTAGGGAGACATTTTTTTTATTCAAAACTTTGGGAAGCACCTAATACTCACTAGATTATTATATTCACAAGAAAGAATTTGAACTTCTTACTTTTTTTAACACTTGGATCTCACCCTTCAAAGTTTGGGCGGTTTTTATACAATCTGATGCATGATTTTCTTTTAGGCCTGTGGATCACAATTTGGATTTTTTTTTTGGGTTGAAAAGCGTATTGGTTGAAGAGGATCCATCCCCAAAATTTGAAGTCCTAAAATACTCCGAGAAATAAAAACAAACTTGTCAAGGATAAGCTTGATCCTAAGGAATTATTGTTCGACCTCCATTTTGGCAAGGCCGAGGTTTGTATAAGGTTGTCTTCTTATACAGTAGAAGTAAGGCGTACCTATAAAATTTACTGTAGAAGTAAGGCATACCTATAAAATATACTTAGAGATGCTACTTTCGTATCAAAAATCCTACAATGGCTAAAAAAAAATCTCTTTTTAACCTCAGTTATAAAATATAGATTTTAAAAAATAATACACATCGAGTGGATCAATAAACACTTGCAAATCTTGAAAATAGACGGTCCAAATAATTTTTTGTAAAATATACTTTTTTTTGGATTTGGAATTCCTTTTTTTTCTTTATGTCCATTCATCTCTAGGTCGAGATGATCAGTGAGGTTTCTCCCATGCCGGAACACTCTTTAGGTGCACCCAATGGTTTAAAAAATGGATTGATGACCCGGATCGGGCTTCCAAAAAACCGATCCGGATCGGCGAATCGGCGATCCGGATCGGGAATCGGGTGAATCGGTCAGAATAAAGCTTAAAAAAAATTCGAAACAATTATTAAAATTCCTTATAAATATTGTTTTTTAAGAATTCAATAAAAAATGAGGGTACTCCATTAAGAATTTTCATGTTTTTGAATGAATATGCGAATATTGATATGTTCTTTCCCTGCATGAACCGCCATTCAGCATTTAATTTACAGTATTTCGTGCTCATCCCTACACTGTTGCTGTTGGGACTCGATATGTGAATAATATGGCTGGGATAGGGTGGCCTCAGAATCATCATCTCTCTCATTTTCTATTTGAATAATATGGATTAAAAAAAAAAATAACAAATTTTCAAAAAAATCGATCATGGATTAAAAAAAAAATCAAAAATTTTCAAAAAATTCTATCATGAATTACAAAAAAAAATTCGATCATGGATTAAAAAAAAAAATCACAAATTTTCAAAAAATTCAATCATGGATTACATAAAATTCGATCATGGATTACATAAAATTCGATCATGGATTACAAAAAAAAACAAACAAAAAAAAACAAAAAATTACAATACGTGGATTAACAAAAAAAGAAAAAAACAGTTACGAT